ATTTTATTACCAATTCATCGAGATGAAAAATTAAAAAACAGCGTTAAGAAATTTATAATGGTCGGGGTAACTAATTTCAAAATCAAACTGGAAATAGATAGAAACAGTACGAAACACCTAAATCCATAATATCATTGATAATATTATTATATTACGTCATTATACAACTACATCATCGTCTCAAATAAAAATGTATACGTAACTTCGCAAGACTAAATAACTACTACAATAATTTGAAGTCGTTTAAAAAATGTGTGAACTTATGTTCCTTAAGAATTTGCTTTCTTTGTTTGACAAACCTCATAAGCGTGGTTGTTATGTGTGTACTACCTTAGGAGTAAAAATAAGATTAAATTAAAAAGACGTGTGCAGCAGAATTTGGTCGAAGGGTATTTATTTTTATGAAACTATAAAATCTTCGAAGTATAGTGATATTTTATTATAAGTTKTTGTCTTGACAATGTTTGTTTAACGCGTTTTTTTTTTGTGTTGCAGACTTTTGGACAGTATAAAAATGCCGAGCAGTCAAACGCGACCTTCTGGTTTCCATATATGTGACATATTGGACTTAAACGACGGCAAAGTGAACTCCACCGACAACACGAACACGACACTGAGTTCGCATATCAACGGTAAGAATCTTAAAATATACGACACACACAATGGTGTTCAATATTTTATATTATTACCGATCTCGTATCGGATAAATGATTTGTCATAAATCTAGTGTTTGAACATTTCATGAAATTTAAACTCATGAAACATTTCATAAATATTTCAGTATTATTATGATATATTTAGATAAGTTTATATTTTTACTTACCTATAATTGTCATAACTTACCTTTCATAATATCAGGGAATCAATCACTGCAGACTACTCGTTATAAAGTAATGGTTTTCTTTAGTTAGGTTATTGATTAATAAACATCATTAATGTTTGTATTTGGAAAAATGTCAATGTTTTGTGAAATATTTCATAGGTACTTCAAACATTAGATATGTTTCRACTTACCCTAGTGTTACGTGTATTGCATACTGATTTTCGAGTAAGGAAAMCCGTTTTTTACGTTTGTTTTTTTGTTTCCAACAGCTCCCGACGTGCACAACGTGAGCACGGGCTTCCAGTTCCCTAGCGTTCTGCAATCTTCCACCGACCTGTTACACCACTGGCCAACGTCGCTCACCGAACTTCGAGGTAAGAACGAAATTAAATATCCGTTTAACACAGTACTTTATAGTGTAATAACGCTTATAATATCAAAGATTAGGTACTTACGTAATATAATTTCAATGTTCAAAATGCTGATTTTATTATTTATGTAATATCATATTACCTATAATATGATTAATACACGTCGARCGATTTGTTCGTCATAGCGACATGTCAAAAATATTATGTCATTCTGACGTCCGGGACTTAATAATGGTGTGCCGCGATCAAGTAGGATTAGAATTGATTTTAGTGTTTTTTTCGTGTTTGCTGTATACATCACACGAAATATAATATATACACATTAATCCATGGGAAACGAACGATGAGAAATTAATATTTAATATTTGACTTTATATACATATCATACCTATARCATGTAAAATATTTTTATTATACCTACGATTGGCTGTGATACATAATATGCGTTAGGTATACCTATATTATTATTTTGCAGTTCTCGAATCTACCTACACGTCATGTATAATTGTATAGCACAAAAACCGAGTGCTGCCGACAAAAAACTAACACTCATCGACACGCTTGTAATAAAATATTGTGTGTGTCTACATATAAAATTAAAATATAATAATAATAAAATATTATATAGGCCGAGTGCTGCTGCTGTAATAGTGGTATATTATATACATTATACGTATATGTATTGGTAAACCTACACTGCGTCGTGTCCTAATAATGGCGGTCGGACGGACGTTAAAATTTAAACCCGTTATATACCAACACGGGGCCCCGATGGAGAGCTCGCGAAAAGGGCGGCTTTGTGGGTTAGACAGTGTGGCGCGCGCGGGGAGGTGCAGTGTGTACAAATTAAATGCATAGGCTCCCCCGTCGTCGCCGTATCGTGCTCACCCCGGATGTATTATACGTATATACATGTATATATGTATGTATATATACGTGCTTATATATTATATAATATGCGCGAAACTAGTGTACCCAAAGCTCCCGTTCGCCTCTAAGTGGATTAAAACGCGCTCCCTCCTGGTGCGAGCAACAGATTTACAGCGGATTTTCCCCGCCGTTTAGCACGCCGCAGCCGACAATGGTTTTTATTAAAAACCCAAGTATATATCATATAMTTGTGTGTGAGTGTGTGTACACGATATATACGCAGAGGGCTTTGTGTGCATGTGGGTTGTAGTGCTCTCTAGTTTTCGACTGTTATTATCGAACGCGGCCAGGTCGCTCTTTACCGGACGAAACTCGGAAAAACGGCCGCGGTTCGTAACGAGAAGTGGATTCGGTGGAAATAAAATATCAGACTCGCAGGTATTATACCAACACGTATTAAATCTGACCACAAAAAGCTTTCCTAGTCGTCGAATTAGATTATAAATATACGTATACTTACAACAACAAAAAAAAAAAACAAATATTTTAAGTTTCGATAAACCTGCACAGTTCCATATTATACAATATTATTGTGTAGTTATGTATAATATTTTCATAATGACTTCCGGACGACTGAACGCCGATCAACGATTGTGATTTTCATGCGAATAAAATGTTTTAACCGAATAGTATATGTGATACTACCTGCTTATAAGTGTATGTAGGTGTATAATGCATAATATATACTTCAGATTTGTAGACTTCATATTATAATATATCTACTTGTAAATGCTCCAATTAATATACAGCTTAAAATTGGCAATAGTTACCGACAACATTTTAACAGGCGAAACCAGTAGTTCAGGCGTAACTTGGATTAATTTTTTTTTTGGGGGGGGGTTGAGAGACAAAATATAGTTGGAAAGGGTGTTATACTTTTCCACCCCTTAGATAATTTACTATTAGTATAAACCTATACGTTTCTTACAAGCAATACATTATACAGTAGTCCTTGAAGTTTATTACACTGAAGTTACTAATCTCCATATTAAAATTTGTAAAACATTAACATTAAGTGTAACTATAATTACTGCAGTAATAATATTTTAATGATTAAATAAAACGTTCAAAGAAAATTAATATTCAAACTCAGTATATTGCAATGATTTATAAAAGAAATGTGTCATAATATTCAATGAATTAGAGTTTAAAAGAAGGGGGGGTAAAAACGATATCTTCTCCCTGAGGGTAGTTACATACAGTTTTAGGGGTAAAACTATAACGTCCATAACTCTCTTGCCACTGCCCTTTGTAAATTACGTTTTTGACCGGAACATGTTCTGCATGACCACTGCAGTGGCTTCTACGAGTGCGTGTCTATAGTGTCTACGGACGAACCGWTTCGGACATTTCGGGACCTTTGCCCTTTTTCCACCGATTTATCGGCAACTAACCTTCAAATATTTATTGTTGCCTGCCGACCAAAATCGGCCAACAGCTGCAGTAGTGGTATCGTATCATCGCGACTAGGCGAATATTATATTCCAATTCAGCGTTTGCTAACGAGCGGCCGTCTCGCAACGCACAATAAAATATAAATAATAATAATAATAATAATGCATAATGACATTATAACGACGATAATCGTCGCCATCGCGTCTTCCACCCAGGAATATGTGGTAAAAAAAAAACATAATGTATATGACATGCAGTATGCACGTTCGGCGTGACATTCCGTTATTGTGTAATACAGCGCCAGAACGGATATTGTACACGACATGCAGTAYAATATAATATATAGGTACAAGCCGCATGTCCCAGACCAATTGCAATATTTTAAGAAAACTTTACGACGGTTGGCTTTTGTGCGTTTCTGACAAATAACATATATTATTATCATTATTACCGTTGTTGTCGTTGTTGTTAACACACACAATATATTATTATTATTATATTACGCCGAGCACAATAATGATGCGGTTGACTCGCGCGGCCGTATATAATCATATTTTGTGCTGATTGTCCGGCCGCCAGCGAGTCTGTCGCGAGCGCGCGCCCACCGGTGCCCAAATACGTTTCGTATGACGATTTAAAAACTCGTGTCGAACATCTGCGACACGATAAATGGCATGCATCATATTATAGGTACCCAACATTATACCATTGTACAATACGCGCGTTCGGATCATCGGCGAGGAATATCATATCATATAGGTGTGTAAATAAATGTATTTCATTATAATATTATACACGCGCGCCCGGGCGAGAGACAGAGGAAAAGTGTGTGTGTGTGCGTGTGTGAGAAAAGAGAGAGGTAAGTGTGAGTGGGGAAGTTGGCGAGGGGACGAGAGGAAGAGGCAGAGAGACCGGCTATAGCATGTGTGCGTGATGCGGTGTGTACAAAACTGGGTGGAGTTTGGCGACAAAAGGGCGTGACACGACGGCCGTTCAAAGGTAACCATTGTGCGAATTACACGGGGGCTTAGACGCACAAAAAGAAGAGAAAAAAATATATTATATCTACATGATATATAAAATATCCGCGCGGGGAAGTATATAATATGTATATATACGCAATACGCGTTTTTATAATATGGGGGKTTTTTTTTTTTAAACTAAACAACATCAATAGGTACACGGATAATCTGACGACGACGACGGTCTCGTGTATGTAATGTATATATATTATATAACAATATACGTGTTATAACAAAAGAGCGGACAAAATGGTTGCTCCCGTCCGCTATTCATGTGTATATATATTATATATTTAGGTAGAGGCGCGCATACCGCGTCATGTCATATTATGTAATATAATATGTAGGAATATCAATTGTTTCGCCCTATACCACACGTACACCGTCTATATATAATAAAATATACATGCATTATATTATAATATTATAACATATTACAATATAATAATGTGCAGAGAAGAAGAGAGCCGAGGAACTTAAGAAAAACGATCGACACTGGGCTGTATTATAATATTATAATAATAACAAAATAATATGCGTATTACATGTTCGTACCTCAATGGGATCGGAAAGATATTAGAGACTGGTCGTGGCTCGATGAGGCAGATGCGGTCCGACAGGAATCACGGTGACAATGCGATTGGCGTGTAAACGATTAGTGTTTAACGACTTTTCCGTTGTACGAATGACAGTGCACACGCTGCTGGCTGTTGCAGGGGTGGTGTTGTAWAGGGAATCCGGGGTGTAACCGATACCGTGGTTAAGTGGAGACCGGTCATGTTGACCGTAATCTATTGCAGCAGTCTCATCTATGCGTTGTATATAGGAATAATAACATAGCGCCTCGCGTTACTCTCATCACCATAATGTCCATAATACATATTTACACTTTCGATTTGCGTACTTGTTCGGTTTATAATATTACTAATTACTAATATACATATTACATATTATTAAAACCAGCTCATTTTCGGTGTTGATTACAGTCTTGATGGGTTTAATCGAATTTACATAGGTTAACCAAAAATTGTCAAAATTTGGAATCAACCCAAACTCGCCTGYAGAAACGAAATACTTTGAGTTGTCTCAAACGYCATATTATATAATATACTCGTAAATACGATGCAATAATAAGCGGATGAGTTAAAAATTAATTTAAAATGTTTAAAATTATTTATTGTTTTGAAACATAATATAGATACAATCTATTATTATGCTATTTATTTTAGAGTATATAAATATAAATATATTTATATTATATCATAAAATCGATGACTATTCTATAGACAAAACTGGAGCCCTTAACTTATTTTTTGAAAAGCGGATACCCGATATTTTTAAGTATTTAGTCGCACGGTTAATTTAGCTCTTAAAGATTTTTTGTTTTGAAAGCCACTTATTAGGAATAGGTACCTACTTTTGGACCAAGATAAAATGTGTCAATTAACCGATTGTTTCTAATAAGCGATTGGTTTTATTTATTTTTCATTCTTACCGTCCTGGACTTCTGTACTGAAGATAATCTGCAAAGTGCACTCGGAGCTTACAGTTTCTTTACTTGATGTGTGCGTGCGTTGCTGWTTTGTATTCTTTATCATCAGTGTCAGTCTGTACAATTGTTTGAGGATTCATAACCGCATTACAGATCTCTTCTTCAGTTGGAACTTCTGCAACATCGAGTTGTGAGTCTATATCGATCCGATCTTCATAAACTTCTTTCAAGAGTTTCACCGGTTT